CCGGTCATTGCATTTGTGTTGTACTCGTTGCATGCAAAGTTAAATTTTTATATGTCTGATTGTTTGTTAGTTATTTTAAAGTCTGGGCCCTATTTTGCTTTCCGCTCATTAACTCTTCTTAACTTGATTTTGTTACAATCTCTAATTAAAATTGCTCATTACGATGGATGATTGCTTACCACAATATCAAGACAGTAGATTAGAGTCACTACCGCAATTTGAGATCCTGTCTAAGTTCGATCAAATCTCACATCTCTCGCATATTGATATTGACTCTCAAATTCCAATTAACATTGATTTTAATTATTATTCCACTGAAGCGTTTAATGACTCTCCTGATATTCAAAATTTTAGAGCTAGTAACAACTCATCATCATTTATGCATATTAACATAAGGAGTTTATCGGCAAATTTTGATAAGTTGTCACTCTTATTTGAAAAATTACATTTTCCATTTTCTATAATAGGTCTATCGGAGACTAAAATAAGAACTGGTGAAAATTTTGTTACTAATAATGATTTACCTGGATATAACTTTGTATCTCAACCTAGCCTTAGCAACGCCGGTGGTGTGGGATTTTATATAAGAAATAATCTGAATTACAGTATAAGAAATGACTTTAGTATATCAAAAGATGATGCCCAAGGCTTATGGATTGATCTTGAATCTTTAAATGGAAAACTAACATGTGGGGTTTTGTATAGACACCCCAGGACTGATATTGATTCATTTACTAATTATTTATATCGATGTTTAGATAAGATTTAACAGGAAAATAGGACATGTGTGATTATGGGAGATTTCAATATTAATCTTATCGAATATTCAACACATGTGCCTACTGAGAATTTTGTTAACACTATGAGTTCGTATTTTTATACTCCATATATACTTAAGCCGACTAGGATAACACACCATTCTGCAACACTCATTGACAATATATTTCTTAATTCGGTGAAGTATCTCACTGTTAGCGGTAATGTCCTTTCCGATATCTCTGATCATCTTCCTAATTTTCTGATTATAAATAATCTTAGGACATCTCCAAGAAATGTTGATGTATATATAAGAGATTATTCTCAATTAAATGATGTTTCCTTAATCGATGAAATGAAATCCGTAAATTGGGAACTTATACTATATAGTAGTGAAGTTAATGTAATTTTTGATAAATTCTATTCAGTAATAACTAAGGTTATTGAAAAACATGCTCCACTTAAGAAACTAAGCAAAACACAGATAAAATTTAACTCCAAACCGTGGATTACGAAAGGTATTCAAATTTCAATTAGAGTTAAGAATAATCTGTTCAATAAATATCTAAGAACGAATAATTCAATTTATCATCTGCAGTATAAAAAATATAGAAATAAAGTAAGTCAGCTATTAAAAATCAGTAAAGAAAAATATTATAACAATTTTTTTCTAAAGAACATAAAAAATGCGAAAGCTATTTGGAAAGGGATAAAAGACTTAGTGACATTAAAAGCGAAAAACATAGGTGTACCTTCAAAAATAATAAAAGATGATGTAGAAGTTGTGGATGTACAGGAAATTGCCCAAATTTTTAATGATTATTTTTCAAATATTGGGAGTAACCTCGCCAGTTTAATTCCTGAAACAACTAGGTTACCTTTAAGTTTTATGGATTCCACTGTTCAAACTAATAGTTTATTCCTTAATCCAATTACAACATATGAAATTGAACAGGAAATTAATCTGCTAAATGCAACTAAATCCTCAGGGCCTTTTAGCATACCTGCTAAATTGCTTAAGTTACTAAAAGAATATTTGTCCAAACCATTAGAAATTATTTTTAACTGTTCATTCTCAACTGGAATTGTACCTAATTGTTTCAAGTTAGCAAGGGTTATTCCAGTATATAAGAAAGGTTCTCAAACTAGTGTTAGCAATTATCGCCCAATTTCTCTGCTTTCTATCTATAATAAAATATTAGAAAAATTGATGTACAAAAGATTAATCAGTTATGTGGAGAAAAGAGAAATATTATATAAGGGTCAGTTTGGTTTAGGTCCAAACATTCGACAGTGCAAGCAGTTGCCTTGATTACCAATAAAATCTAAAGTGCTATTGAAGACGGTTTATTTTCATGCGGTATTTTTTTGGATTTAAGCAAAGCATTCGGTACTGTTAATCATGACATTTTAATAACTAAGCTTTATCACTATGGTGTACGTGGTGTAGTAAAAGAATGGTTTGCTTCTTATCTTGATAATCGAAGACAGTTTGTCCAAATTGGCAACTCTAAATCTAACGAATGTGTTGTCCCTTGTGGAGTACCCCAAGGTTCTGTACTTGGTCCTTTGCTATTTCTTCTTTACTTAAATGATTTCCATAATTGCTCAAAAGTTTTTGACTTCCATCTTTTTGCTGATGACTCGAACCTATTTTGTACTAACAAAAGTTTATTGGATCTTGAATATACTGTTAACCAAAATATTGGAAAAGTTTCTGATTGGTTTATTTGTAATAAACTTTCCCTTAATATTGACAAAACAAATTTTGTTCTATTTCATCCACCACAAAAGAAAATTCAGACTACAATGAAGATTTATATTAATCAAACTGAATTAAAACAAGAAAGTAGTACCCAATATCTTGGAATTTATATTGATTCTAACTTAAATTGGAAAAATCATATTCAGCATGTTACGAAAAAAATTAAACGAAGTATTGGTATTTTGTCTAAAATCCGACATTATGTTACCTCACACGTGACCCTTCAATTATATTACTGCTTGATATATCCGTACTTAAGTTATGGGGTCTCGGTGTGGGGTAACACTTACATTTCTACTCTTAATCCATTATTAATTTTACAAAAAAGAATAGTTCGAATTATTACATTTTCTAAATTCGATGAACACTCTAATCCTCTGTTCAAGCAACTTAAGATTTTGAAATTTGTTGACCTTGTATTTCTTCATAATGTTTTATTTATGTATGATTATTATTCTGATAACCTCTCGCCTTTATTTCAAAGCTTTTTTAAGCATGTTTCCTCAGTTCAAAATTACCATACAAGATTAGCTGTAAGAAATACTTATTTTATTGATAAAGTAAGAACAAATTATGGTAAATTTAGTCTCAGGTTTCAGGGTCCAAAGGCATGGAATGCCATTGATGATGAGTTAAAAACATTAAACAAGTCAGTTTTGAAGAGGAGGATTGCGGAAAGTTTAATTGGAGCCTATTGATTTATGCAATATTATAAAAGTAATAGACAGATAATTAAAAATGTTCTGGCACTCATTTATTCGAGGTGCCAGAGCATCTTTAAAAACCTGCCACCGCTAAAAGTTTCATGGAAAAGTGATATACTCTACCATGGGTAATCAGACTCGATTAGCTATGCTATTTTTGATTACCTGTGCCAAATACATGCTTTATATTTCAATATAATATTGTAAATAACAGTGATGGTGTGTATGAGGTGCATTAAATTATTATTGTTGTTGTAAATTATTATTGTTGTTAATGTTTTGTTTTGTATAAACGGAATTCAGCGCATTCATCGCAAGAAATCTAGTTCGATATTATAGCAAGTGTTAAGCCCGCCGCACACGTGAGCTATTAGCAGAGCTAAACTAAAGACCAGGCGAGGCTGTTAGCTCAGCAAGTTATTCTTGTGTGCGGATAGTTTTTCGTGAGGAATTCGCCTCGAGAGGCAAGTTTCTCACGAAAATTGAGACATCGTGCACCCTGCCCCCCGCTCGACTACGATGACGTCTACACAATTAATTTTGTACTAAAAATCTAATAATATAAAAGGAATTACACGTCGTTTACACACATATTGATACATATGACCATGGTAAAAGTTTTCTCAACTTAACATATTAACTCTGCATGCATTATTTCCAAAAGTATCCTGTATGTATTGATTTTGCTGAAATCAATGTCAACGACTCGTACGTCTAACTTAATACACATCAATTTACGTTTATAACACGACAATTTTATTTAGATTAACTAAACCTTAGCTTATAATATTATAAAATAATGGCTATAGATATATGAAAAAATTTGTAAAAACTTATCATATAAAGCCCTGAATATTTTGCATGCAATGACGACTTTAAACGACATTGGAAAGAAGTCGATAGCGGTTGCAATTGACAAGTAAATTTGAAAGTTTGATAAAGAAAGGTTTTCATTTTTTTTAGAAATACTTTGGATATATTGGAAATGATGTTAGTAAAAAAAAACCCTGAAATATTTCCATGATATCAATTACATATGGTGTAAATGATACAAAGCGCTGAAATATATAATACTTTTTTCAAGTAGATTTGCATATTTCGAGTTGTTTTTACAAACAGGAGAAACTAGATAAAGTGTAAGCGCATCAATTTCAAACCTTTACCATCGAAAACTAAAACGAAAATTTTGATCAACTAAATTCGTACACATGATTCAATGTCGTTTTAGAGTCGATGAAAGTTGATTACATTACGCCCAGGCCAGCCCAGAGACTATAGTGTCGCCACTCGCCAATAGTGTATATAGTGTCGCCATTATGTCTTGATGGTGTAAGACATAATTATTGGCAAACAGCACCAACACTGTACGAAATGTACCTAAGAACACCACTCAGTTTAGGGCTGCTTTCCACTGTCGCGTTTTTTTGTACGTATATACGTATAAGCACGTAAAAGTTTCATTTCATTTAAATGATACTTATGAAATCAACGATTAATTAAATGTATTGTGTTGGATTCTGTTGATGATTTGGGTTTTTTCTGGTATAGAATTATTTATACAACAAATTTGGAAAGTTTTAAACTTTATATGCGTGTACGCACGTGCAAAAAACGCGACAGTGGAAAGCAGTTCTATGAAATATAAGCTCTCAAATATCAGGAATGATCAAACATTTCCACACCGACCGCAGGACGACGTCATTATTCAGCAAGTTTTCATTTCAACGACATTCCGTCGAATTTTAACAAAGAAATGAATATTTGAAAATGCACGGTTTTCCTAAAAACACGACACACTAATTCTTTTCACAATAACTAAATGATATTTTTAGTTTACGACTGTCGTCCCACATTCGTATATTCATTTCCGTAAAAGATCCCTCTTGTCTAACTAAGGTTGCGGTGATAATTTCTATAAAGTCGACAATCAAATTACCCATAGCAAGTTATTAATAGTTAATACTTTCTTTATTATATGACAAACAGAGTTAAATGGCGCACCTGAAAGACCGATATTTGGTTAACTGCTGAAATAACAGAATTATTTCACAAAGCCCACAGGATATGTCATATAATAACATCGACTGCAATAAGCTGTACTGAAAAATATCAAACACGAAACTATGAAACCTTGCTCGGTTCTTCATATTTTCCAGTACAGTGAAAAAGGTCGTAGCCATGCAAGGTCGTTATTAGCAATCGTATTTCATACCTAATATTGCATTTTATGATCATTATACAAACAATTCGAACTTTTAACTCGTCTTAATTAGCATTTTAATTTCTGTATTTCCTGTGCTACCACTATCAGTTATCATCTTAACTGCATAATTGTTATTATTATGTCATTACCATAGGGAGTTATCATACAAGTTAAATGAATCACTCAGTATTTTGAAAAAAACTCAGCAGTGACTCTAAATGACATTAAAAGCTCTTATTTCAAAGGTTTCTAACCTCAGAGCTCAGATACAATATTATTTGCAATTACTGTTTTTAATAATTATCATGGTTAATGAATTTAATATTTTTAATATTTAATACATTTTAAAGAGGATGGTTTGTAATGATTTATGTTGAAATATGAAACATATTTCCATTGCTGCGTCAAACTAATTAAACTGTTTTCATACAACTGATTGCTATTCATGTAATCAAATTTTAAAATAGCCAGCAATATTAATTCGGAAGTGTTCTTTCAATGAACGGTTAAAATAAATAAAACTTTCTACAGGACACAAAACACTTTACCGTTACATAAATGCAATGTATAAATGCAATGTATAAATGCGTGCGTGTTCGAATTCTGCGTGAAACGTTTCTCAGTCAACGGCTGCAGATTACAATACTGTCACTCGACTTCTGTTGAATTCTTAATCAGTGTTTGAGACAACGAAAAAGTCAACAACAATTGATTATTACTGGTAAGTGTTGCAGTGCTTGGAAATATTGTCAGTGTTTATTTTCTACGAGTGATTTTGGCTTTTTATTAAAAGTGAGCCTGAAATATATATTTCGGAACCTTTATCACTATATATGCATGACTGCGCAATAATGAAATATAATATCAAAAAGCCTCCTCACCAACTTTTTCATGTGTTTAACAATATAATTGCAGCGAAACAGGGACGCGGCGTAGTGCCTCCTTAAGTTTTGTGGAGTCTCGGTCATCACCTTCTAAACGTGGTAACGTAAAACGTCTTAAGTTGTATAAATTTGGCAGCACAACAGTTAAACTTTCTGCACCGACCTCGGTAATTCTAGTATGACGTAAATCAAGTTTTTTCAAAAAAATCAACGATCCTATTGCAGTGATTAATTGTTGCTCTCCTTTGACTTCGGTAAAATTAAATCCTTTTAACGACAGCTTTTCCAAAAATTTCATTGCTGTCAACCCCTCAGCTAGAGGGTCTATCACAATTGATTGGGTAGCACCAAGCGAATAATCGTAGTCTAAAGAAAGTTTCCTTAGGGATCTCAATTTAACTAATGTTGCAAACAGCTGCTTTAAACTGTCATCATCAAACTCAATTCTCAACTTAATCTTCTGTAATAACTGCAGTGACGAAAAGCAATCAAAAAAACCTTTTATGTCATTTAGAGTCAACTCTTTTAAATGTCTAAATTTTCCTAAATATTGAGATCGCTGCTGTTCCACCGCTTCCCTTAATTCATAACACAAAGACATTTTTAGCTTTTCCAACAAGTAGAATGATCGCGAGCCATTAAATAAAGTTTGTTCATTTATATCAAAACCTTGTAAATCAAGTTTCCTTAAATATTTCAAATCCCCCAGTGAGAGTGACGATGTCTCTGCATCGTATTCTTCCGGGTCTAAGATTAGCGTCTCCAACAACCTCAGTGACGGTAAGACCTCAACTAAGACATCTCTGGTGGCCTGGCAAAAAAAATCGTCATATATAAAAAGATGTTTTAAAAATATTAATTTTACTAAAGAATGAATACATTGTTCGTCATATTCACTATCATAACTAAACGTGAGAAATAAACGCTCCAACAACGGCAGTGACGTTAAGAGCTCATCTATGGCTTTTCCACTAATACCAGTTAATCCAAGTTCCCTTAAACTTTTCAACTTTCTTAACGCGGTTATGAACAGTATTTCACTTGTACTACAACGAAACGTATTCTCGTAACACCACAGATTAAATATTAGTTTTTCCAATAACTGCAGTGTTGATAACGCCCGAGGTAAAGCATTCAAAATACTTCTAGCATTTTTGCCATTGCAGTTCTTTAAATGAAGCTCGAGATCTCGCAAATATATCAAACCTCCTAACGCTAGAAACAATTTTTCGATCCCGTGATTAAGACATATTTCTCTAAATTTACATTCCAACACAAACTTTTCTAGCAACGGTAGTGATGGTAACACTTCACCTAAATCGTTTAAATGCTCTGGGTTTTCCTTAACTTTTAAGCTAAGTTCCTTTAAATATCTAATTTTCCTCAACCCAGAACACAGTTGTTTTGTAACTTCAACATCTTCCAAAAAAATACGTGGCCAAGGCGGTGTTTTCCGATTTCTGAATTTTTTAGTCCAATGAAGATTGAGAATTCTTGAGGATTTCAACCAGATTAACGCGTCAATGAATTTTTTTTGGTCGATGTTGTCATTAATACACATTCCAACCAAAACTAGCTCTTCCAAGGACAAAAGAGACGAAAGCATGTCAACTAATGCATCTACATCAGGTACTTTTATGCCACTGAGGTCAATAACTTTAATATTGTGTAAACACTTTATAGCACTAAAGATTTCTTCAATGTTCGAGTCATCAACTGTACCAGCTAAAGATATCTCTTCCAACATCGAAAAAGACGACAACATTGCGGCTAGTGCCTCGACATCACACGCTCTTAATCTCATGTCAATAAGGTGAAGTTTTCTAAGATTCTTAAGCGATGACATTTTAACAAAGAGCTTTTCGCTATGAATGACATTACTGATAATAAGCTCTTCCAACGACGGAGGAAATAACAGAGAGTTATCAAAGGCATTTGCATCAACCTGATTGCCAGACAAATTCAAATATTTCAACTCTTTTAGCGAAGCAAAACTATCCAACAACACATTTGTATCACTTCCCGTCATGGACGATTCGCTCAGGTCTAACCCCTCCAACAAGAGAAATCTCTTCAACAAGTTCGCAAGTGCTCTTGTCCCATCTGAATCAATAGCATTCATGCTTAAATCAAGATATTTAAGATCTCTCAAGGATGCAAGTGAGTTTGAGATTTTCCAGAAATCTGAACCATACATATGTGTGTTACTTAGCCTCAACTCCTGAAGATTTTTGAACGAAGACAGGATATCTTGTAAAAGATCTGAAGCTCCTTCAGGATTGTTGCTTAAATTCAACTTCTTTAACAGCGTTAAGTTTGATAATGGTGATTGGAGTTGACGAAAATCGTCCAACACAAGATTATTGGACGATAAATTGAGTTCTTCCAGCTCTTGCACCAAAGAAAGTAGAGCTGCCAAACCATCCACAGCAATACACACGTCAGTATTAGCTAAGCTTAACACTTTCAAATGCTTAATTCTTGGACCTAATGCACACAAGAACCAAATTGAGTTGCCAATGTGATTGGAATCTAAGTTAAGTTTCGTCAGATTTGACTTAATTAAAAAACAAAATTGGCTGATGTCATCGGGTGACATGTAATTGAAAGATAACGATATTGTTTCCATTTTATTTGGTAGCTTGTCGAGTTGTGTGTCGAAATTAGGCAAAGGAAAAAATCTAATGTGGTTGTCAGAGAGGTTTATTTCCTCGAGTGATTGCAGTTTACAGATCTCAATGATGCATGTGTTTCCCTGGAGTGCGCTGTGCGATAAGTCTAAAGAAATAATGTTATCAAACTGTCCGTGTATCTCGAATACGCTTAGGTTATTTTTAGATAAGTTTAAATTTTTAAGACTTGTCATGCACTTCAATGACTCCATCAGACTGGAATTTTCATGTTTAGTTAAGAAATTATCAGTTAAAATCAAACTTGTTAAATCATTACATTTGATAAGTACGTTAATAAAACTATAGAAATTATTCTCCTCAAACTTGGTACGAGATAAATCTAATTCCTGTAAATTATTCTCGCTACGAAAGCATCTGACTAGCGCAAAAATATCCTCATAATCTAAGATATTATTAATAATACGAAGAATCTTTAGACAAGAGGGCAAAGAATAAACACTCAGAACTTTGTGTACCTCACACCTGGAGTGAATTTCTATCGTGTGAATTTCAAGTGTGGATTCTTTCAATCTCTTCAAGAGGAGATCATCATCCAGAACTGCCAACGATATCGTGAGTTTCTTAGTTGATTCAACATTTTCAAGAAACTTCTGAATTCGTACTATAAACAAAACGTGTTTGTATGAGGAATATTTAGATATTTTGACAGTTTGTGCAAAAATATCTCTGAAAATAAGGTTGACTCACATTCGTTTGCTTCTGGTTGGTTGACGTGTCCCTGAAAAAAATGGTAATAAATGTACAGGTATAAGGAACAGTATCAAGTACTAAACCATGCTAGGAGATATCATGCCAATGTACCGTTTTAATAATGCGTTGACGCACATTAAATGTTATTTAATAATAGCGTTTTTCAATAATACCGTTTTAATAATAATTACTTTAATTACTTTAATTTTAGGTCTGCTTTCCACTGTCGCGTACACGGACGTACAAAATTTAAATCATTTGAATGATAGTTATGATATCAACGATTGAATAGATGTATAGAGTTGGCATGTTTTTTTTTGGTATAAAATTAATTATACAACATCTTAATTAGAAGGTTTTAACCTTTTACGCGCGTGTACATACGTGGAAAAAACGCGACGGTGAAAAACAGCCCTTAAGGTATATTAACTGAAAGCGTTTCAAGACGAACCTCTTTCGTTCCAAGTCTATTTGAAAAGCATCATCATTACGTATCACTCAGCTATATGATAATATAAAAATATTCATACCTGCACGTTTGAACTATTAACACTACTGAATGGGGATTTCGCATTTTGTTCTTGCTGCATCGCTGCATCCACCAATATATTTAAATCGCGAGATTCCAATGATATAAGTGGAGGGAGAGCAGACAAAGTTAAGACAGGATTCTGTGAAGCAAGCAACATTGCTTCCCCAGGCGTTCTCCATGGAGAATCGAGATCTTGCTCACGAACGGTTTTGTTAAAAGAATTTGTGCCCGGCATAGCTTGCAAAAAATTTACGTTATGAACTCCAGTTGATCTTGAAAACTGCCCTTGCGGTGTCATTGACCCAGAACCAAGAGATTCTAACTGGCCCGGATTTACAAAATTACCAGGATTTTGAATTGCTGGTATTGCCGTATTTCCAGTAATGAAAGCAGTTGATATTGCTAACTGTCTTTGGGCTAAAACATTAGAATCTTGAGCTGGCTGACTTGGCCCGGAAATAACAGACGGCGATAAAAATTGGCTTTGTGATGCAATATTAACAGAATTTTGCAGGAATGGTGTTAATGTGATGGAAGAAACTGTAAGTGGTGTTTGTAATGGCCTCTGCACCAGAATGCTACCTTGATTTTGCGGTGTAGGTGCAAGACCAACCTGCGGAACAATCGACATGGATATTGGCCTTCGTGTTAACTGGTCACTGTTGACGGGTTGGTTTGATTCGGACTGTGAGATATTTGATGTTGATAAACGACTTTGGCAACTTGGAAGTCCAGGTGTTGTGGCAGAAACAACAGATAATGGTGGATCAAACGTTGTGACGTTCACCGAACTGTTGTTATCCAGTGGCGTTACAGTTGACAAAGTAATGGTGGAAGTAATGGTGGACGAAGATAATTGACTTTGTGTTGATGTGCTACCAGATTGGCTTGATTCGGTTTGACCAGTTGGCATGGTAACAGCTGAGGTAACGACGTCAACTGTAATGAGGGTTGACGCAGGTTTTGGTAAGATTGGTATATAAAATTGCTGGTCACCACCAACCATACCACGCAGTCTTTTTGTGCGAGATATTCCATGGGTACAGGGGGATATCTAAAAAATGTTGTTGTGTTGAATAAAACACAGTGCATGAGTGAGTCAAATCTGGAACAGGGCTAATTCTCATGGTGAACTGCAACCTCGTACCCAGGTTCTTTTACCTACGCTCCACGTGGGCCGTGGAGCGAAGGTAATCGACGTGGTAAAGATCGTTCATGCGTCAAACGATAAAACGTTTATGAGGAACAAGCTTTGGTAATAAAACTAAACAAACCTATTGAGAGTAATAATGCCAAGTGTAGTTCATGTTGCAAGAAGCTACCTATCAGCTCGCTACAATATAAACAAGCAGGAACATCCTCTAGTACTACTTTACCTCGTTCTCAGCAATAATTTTCAAATAAAGCCTTCCTTGTCCACGTTCACTGTTGTAAACATTTTCTGGAGTGTAGCATCTGAAACAGCACAATCCTGGATTCAGTTCTTCCAATGTGTTGGTTTTGTCCGCTTTCATGAACACAAAAAAGGCATTTTCCAATTTGGGATAAATTTCAATCAATTTCTGTTTAAACTGTTCATTAGTCAAGTCGAGGGTAAATTCCACCTTGTCATCTTTTATACAATGTTCTATATTAAAACACAACGAGATCAAGGTATAGAGAAATGAAGTATAATGTAAGGGGATACCAGAGAGGTGCTGAAATCACCTAACGCTCGCCTGCACTGTTTGTCTAGAATAAGGCTAAACTCTGTATGAAAGGTATCTGTATGAAGCACAAATTACCGATCTTTTTATCACAAATTACAAGGCTAAAATCCGCGTTGGAAGGTAATATTAAGCACAAACTTCAGATATTAGTTGTGACCTCAGAATTACTGGCCAAAACTGGCCTCGGAATTACATTAGTTTTATTTGTGACCAATATTTCTTCCGTTTCTCGCAATCCGCGCACGTGATATCAACAGGTAAGTTAACGGACCAGGCAAAAGTCCCTGCTTTAAGCCGGGCGCACACACAACGATTTTACGGTAGTTGGTCCATTCAGGTTTAGACATATAGGTAGCCCTTGCCCATCGCGGCGCTCGCGCCTCGCGCGTGTACGCGAGTCTACTTGGTCTAATCTGACCAAGTATAGGTTGACAGTCGCCACATTTTGATGAAAACATCCATCTAAACAATCTAGACAGGAATCGGCCGACTAAAATCGTCGTGTGTGCGCCTAGCTTTATGAAATAAACAAGATTGGATTTTTATATCTACAAAAAAAAGGATTATGCATCAAACAACGAAAAGGTATGTACATAAATCTTATAGGTGCTTTAATAATATATTTGCATGTGTATCTACATAAATAATATGCAAATATATGTCACATGCGTTGCCATTGCCTTTGCATTCCGAGCCCATCGGCTTTCTACTTATAAATACTTATGTGCTAAAGCTTGTAATTGCGAATTATCTGACAATATTCTTTAAACTTTAACGTTGGACTATGTTTTATATATTTTCACTCCCTGAATGATTTCTATATTAAGCGATTGAATTTTGATACGGCATGTCACAACACAATCTCATAATTTATAATTGTACATGTACAATACAAACAAATGGTAGCATACAGGTGAAAATATTTGAAAGTTTCTCATTTGGCTTAGGGTTGTACAAATACTTTCGTTAAATATGATTCAGCTACAACTTTGAACTAAAAAAAAACAGGGCTACACAATAGCCCTGAAAATCGTAATGAGCGTGATAACTCTGGATAACTCTAACATTGACCTTATCATGATGCTAATTAGCTTAACATTTGCCTTATCATTTGATAATTTTGAGCAAAGCTCTCTTTATTATTGTATAAATGTGTACCAAATGGCACTGAATAGTCACAATGCATATCTATGACTTATATTTATGATGATTCCTCTGATGTAAAGCCATAATATTTAAGAAATATAGCATCTTAACATTGACCTTATCATTATGCTAATTAGCTTAACATTCACCTTATCATTTGATAATTTTGAACAAAATTCCCATTATTTTTGTGTAAATGTGTACTAAATGTCACCATATAGTCACAAGACATATCGATGAGCTATATTTATAAAGAATCTTCTAATACAAAGCCATAATATTTAAAAAATATAACATCTTAACATTGACCTTATCATTATGCTAATTAGCTTAACATTCACCTTATCATTTGATAATTTTGAGCAAAACTCTCTTTATTATTGTATAAATGTGTACCAAATGGCAATAAATAGTCACAATGCATATTGATGACTTATATTGATAATGATTCCTCTGATGTAAAGCCAAAGTATAGAAAAAATATAGCATCTTAACATTGACCTTATTCTATTTGTTGTATAATGTTCACTCCCCCCTGGTAAATGGTTCTTTTGCAACAAATAGACTCCTTAAGTAGATAAGTTGAAAATAATGGGAAAATAAAAGTGGCATCTTAACATTCTACTTATCATGTAGTGTGGACGCGGACGGGGACGAGGACGGGGACGGGGACGGGGACGCGGACGCGGACGCCAAGACTATAGCAATAGCTCTCTTGCACTAAAGTGCAGGCGAGCTAAAAATAGATTCAGTGGAATGAACCAGGTTTTCTATACTTGTAGTTCACACCTGAAAGTTTGCAATCGCTTTAAAACATATACATACCCGAAATAAGTCAAGATAGAAAATATTCAAGATACACGAACTATTCTAAATAAGAATTTGCTCCAATAACAACACACCATGCAGGCTATGTGGAGTTTTCTCCTACAGTTAATCCTAGTTTTGTTTTTAATCAAATCTTGAATTTCAATAAAAAAACAGTCTTTATGTAATATTCTGTAGGACTCCAATGAATAACATAATATCCTGCACCTTTTGGAGGTGGTCCATATCCTCTTTGCATCAAGGCTTCTATCCCAGTCTTTGAACAAGTGTCTTTGGTCACTTTAGTGATCACGGTGTCTGGATCAAGCAGAAATAACCTGACAGAAAGTTTGCTTGCAGGTCGTCCTCTCTTTTTTGTGTTTGGTTCACGATAATTATTGTTGGTCATAATTTTTTTTATGAACTTGCGCGTGAGAAGAGAACATCTATTCTTTAACGGTTGTGAAACAGCCTTAAGAAGAAATAAAACTACCGATTATAAAAACTAAAGGCTTGAAGCCACTTTATAGTGGATATAAAAAACAGAACAATACAGTTGCAGTATTTCATGCTAAAATCCCAACCCTCAGAAATAACTTTAAATCGTGAAGTGCAAACCATCGAGCTTTAAGAATAGCACAATCGTGTGGTCAAAATTTCCCAAACCCGAAGTCATCTCGGAAAGAGTTCAATAAACGATGTTTTGCAAACATTCTCTGGTATGCGTCGCTACAGAAGTGCGCTTTCACGAAAATCTGCTGCCCTGGCATCGTTACGCGTTCCTGGGTAAATACAGGACTAATTATGGTAGGGTTATATTTCGGGACAGACGTCCGGTTGCTCATACAGTATACATGCACGATTTACTTGCGATATTTTATATGCAGCCGTTCATTTTTACCCTCTTTCACTTTTTCGAGACCCAGAGAAAGTTGTTTTGGTCGAAAAATACTAGTTTGATATTCGTAATAAAAATAAATATTCCGTCGTTTACAAGGAATAAGATAAACAAAATTCAGAACGCGCACGGACGTGAATTATACAGTTTCAAAACAGGAATAAAAATTATACACTCTTTTTGCTAGGGAAGGTCAAAGCCGTGAGTAAAACAAATCAAAACTGGGTTTCTAAAACTAGCAGCTGTTTTCATGCCACGGCCGCGTCGTAGATTTAATGCATCTTCAACCCACTAATCTGTTTTGCTGCATAACGCGCGCCATCATGAATTACTTCAACACATATTTGTCTTCATGAAGCAACACAAAATCTACAGCCTCCACAACATTCACTGTCTTAACAGTGACGTAATGTTAATAAGGTATTGAATCAGACACTATTCTATAAGGTATTGGATCAGATCCTATTTTATAAGGTATTGGATCAGATCCTATTTTATAAGGTATTGGATCAGATCCTTCTATAAGGCATTGGATCAGATCGGAATCGATGAAACTTTGCTATAACACTCGATTGATAGCGCTTGAGTCCGATATAATCGTCGAATCCTGTGCTGTGCAGACTATCACTAACACAACCACGCAAGCCAGGCTTTTCTACCTACGCTTCTCACTAACATTTCGACATCAACGATAATTGTGACATCTTCCATGGCGCAAATTCAATATTGAATTCGATCAGACTTGTGGGTTTATATTACGCTCGAGAAAACGAATTGTTTGTTGTTCAAATTGTCGTGACAGTTGGGCGATATATATTTCTCATATTACAACTCCAAGAATATATTCATGTATAAATGCAGTTTGGTAGCAGGACAGGAAACTAGAAATCTAGCAATGTAGTATTGATACAAAGAATCTTGTATAAAATTTCATATTCCTTACGGTAAAGAACATACCTTGCGACTTTCACTGTGAAATGTGAAAATATCTCAAAATCACGACACGACATCAGCTTACTCCAGCTTGGCACAGCGACGAAGTGTAATTTGAAGCAACCCATTTCCCAAATATGATCATACTTGAGGGCTGTAGCATCTGTGATTGGTTAAATTCTGTTCCGTTTCACAACCCCAAAAATACGCTTACTAAGCGTTATATAATACTAGAGCTATAGGCTTAGTGTTATTTTTGTCAATTTATGACATAACTCATAAACAAATCAGTTTTAAACGACACTGATATTCACAACCTGGGGTACACAATCACATTTGAATCTGTTACATAACATGTATGTTACAGTATATGGTTTAATCTGGAATAGTCTTTTTATAAATATTCAGACAATGAAAAACTGCTCAGTTTTTCCTTGTCAAAATATATTGTATTAAAAATATATACATAAGAACTTTCATAAGAACTAACTTTATGAACCCGCCTTGCAGTCATTAAAAGTCGCACAGATGTGCGGGATGCCTGTGTTCAATTACAACCTCGTACCACTTAATGTCCACTTTGTTTTTTCTATGAACGACCATCAAATGATAAGGACGACTGTCTACGGAATCGAAATTTGCGTCAGCGCCACTCTTTCTATATTGTACGCTGAAGTTGACTGCAACAAGAAACGGATGTAGCAAAATGCATGTACTAAAAAGCATGTACTAAAACTACAATTATTATAGATTACCCAATTTACGTTGTACTTGCAAGAAATGTCTTTTGGGTTGTCTGTCGTTCTGACTGATCTTCGCCGATTGTCGGATATTCGAAAGATGACGAATATAATATGTTTGTCACTATACGTCGGACGATTCTTTAAAGTTTCCACTATTTCTTAGAATTTTTCAAGCGTTCATTAGTCCGCCATTGTATAGGCGAGCAATTTTAAACACAAGCAGATTATACAAGCTCACGCAGATAAATAATCGATCAGGGAGCTTATATCTAAGCGCTTGCAATCGACATTTAGTTTCTGAGTTGCAGACATGCACAACCCACCACGAATATAAAAGTGTTACAAAAATGGGTCTTGAAATTTCCAACTTCTGAATTGATCCACACCAAAATTTTGCAGACCTTCGCAACAGTCTGTGCCGCCTCAAAAGTAAACTTAAGATTGAATACTATTAATGCTGTACTTGAAGTATTGTGTTTTTGCCTTATCCCAAAACTCATTCCAATTAAAACCAAAAGAAAAGATATGTTGATATTATCAAATGATATACAGGGCGATTAAAAAGGTAAAACACTTCGTAAATGCCTTCTCGCTAGGAATACACGCGAAACCGTTGAGGAAATTTTTTGGTATATGTCTGTGTATGTGTATATTTGGTATGTGTGAATCCCAAGTACCAAATATATACGACGAAATAACTCCTGTGCGTGTTAATCAGTGTAGTTTATATCTCTCAAATATTTTCAGCAATCCTGTAAGACTTGGGATCGTTTGTGTATTTCTGCATGCACATTTATAGTCGGTCCATTTTAGAATATATATAAACCTCAATACTGAGTCTACTCAAATACTGAAACTCTAATAAAACGGATGAATATATGCCGTTGGAAAATATATTCGGCAGGATTGCATTGAGCCAGAATTAGCCAACTGTAACTGTTGTTATGTTATGCGTTAAAAATTCTCCTCATAAACTGGGATCATGGTATATAGATAAAACTTTAGACATCGCAAGTGCAAAGGTTTGAACCGTTTGATAAGCTTGTATTAATATATAGAAGTGATTCTGTTTTGTAGAAGACTGGGGAAAATGTGAAACACAAAGTCGCTGCAAATCTATTTGAATTATAACAGTCGACTAAGCATGTATAGGAATTTATATTTCTTACTGTGAGAGACTTGCTTTGCGATTTTCAGTCCAGGTTAGTCCAAAGCGACGGAAGGACATCGTTTTATCGTAGCTACACGCGGCCAAATTGTAATTTAAAACAAGAAGGTCGTGAAACGCGGTTGTATTGCGGTGCCCGCGCCAAGTTTGGCACCGCATTATATTCTGCCTGTGAGTTTGTTTGTTCGCATCAATACGTTTCCTTAATCGCCTAGTAAAAATTCCTTGCACATGCTTGGAATGCTTGGAATTTTTTCCTAAATATTACTATTAATCTTGTTGTACGTTTGCCAAATTCCTTCTTTAAAGGAACGTTTTTTTTTCAATTTCAATCTCAAACTCTGATAATTGCGTGTATCTCTGCTTTTATGCACCCAAGAAGGACAAAAATACCACCATTCGATTCAGCGTAAGAAATTATACTTACAGTTTTTAAATATATTACTAAACAAGAGTATTCGCAGCGATTTATGACGTTTGAAAGACAAACGAAATTGAATTGTTGACAAATCGCTCAAAATTACTATGCTATACTTTACTAGTAATAGTAAGTTTGGTCTTTGATATCTTTCATATCGTTGGTTTTCTCTTTTAATTTTCGTCCTTAAATAAGTGGATCGGTCTTACATTACGATTTATTTTATAGTACTTTGAGCCAAATATATTCTATTTCGAAGGTTTTAAAGTATAGTTTCAATAAGCGAACTTTATGACAAATCGCTCAAAATTATTAAACAAATTAAAAATGCAGTACGCTTAATCCTTGACTTCTGTATCGTTGCTTTTCTAGTTTCCGGCTCTACACCAGTTTATTCGTCTCACGTTTCTCTTCATTTTGATAGTATTTTTAAATAATATTTTTAGCCTAAATATTTTATTTCTGAAGATTTTAAAACGGCGCAATTTTGACCTTAATGTACCAACCAACCAGGCTGCGGCCGACAGGAGAATGTAAGTGGTGATGTCCTTAGAAATGAGCGGACGTTTTATTTCTAGGCAAGCATTGCGGGCACCGCATTTTAGTACTGTGTCTGGTTATGAACACATGTCTGTACGATAAGAATTCCTTTCATTAGATGATCTGTCGACAGAGGTTCCAAACGTTTTTGATTGAATTTGAATATTTGATTACCACGCATGCATGCCCGTTTTCAATATTACGCACCAATGACTTAACATGCTAACAATTCTTTCAATGCTTTTCGTTATTCATATACGAACTTTTGTTAAAAGTTTAACCAATTAAAGCCGAGGTATTCTCTTGATTTGTCAAATCATCAAACAAATGTAAATATAAATGCGTATAAATTTTTCACTACAAATTCCTCTTCTTCACGGAATTTAAAGTTGAACTGTTGAAGTCAAGTTCATTCTGCGCATCGGTTCTGCTCATAACAATCTGAGAAACCTGTGATGTAAAGATCGTCTAATTTCATACATATTTTCCAGATTTTTCTGAACATAAACTCAAGTTTGTATTCATTTAGCGAAGCGAAACGAACCTAAATGTTGTTAGATATTCAGATAGCACAACGTATTTCAAGAAGCATTAAAGTTTAAAATGTAAAAAAAAGTTTGCTAACAGGGATCAAGTCTTGTTTTAATGTTTTGTGTTGTATAAACGGAATTCAGCGCATTCATCGCAAGAAATCTATAGTTAGATATTATAGCAAGTGTTAAGCCCGCCGCACACGTGAGCTATTGGCAGAGCTAAACTAAAGATCATGCGT